TGTCGGCCCTCGCCACTGCAGCACGCGGGTCTGGGTCGTGTGTTAGAAAGCAGTGATCGGCAGTCTGTGAAGTGCATGGGAATTGTGATTACAGCCGTTCAAGCGGTGCTGTAACCTTCAAGTAGCTCTTCACTAGCAAAGTAGCTTGAGTTTTATAAGCTATAGTTACTCTGTGTTGTGGTTCAATCCGCAACTCATAACTTTGAAAGCGAGTTAATAATACTAGTGCAGCTATAACTTTCAACAAGCTCAGCAAACTCTTACCTTTGAGAAATGGTTTTCAGCTTTTCCACGTGATTAAATCTTAGACACCTAAAAATCTCCTAGTAAAGATGGAGACCTCTGTGTAGCAAAAGTAAGTGTATTGACAACACCTCTGTTGTGGTGGTTTTGATGGAGTTCTTAAAGGTAATTCACAGACATTGCTTCCTGTTAGCCTTGCAGTCTGCCTACCACAAGCTGAAACCATTGCCTTGAGGAACTGTTATTACAGAAATAACTTGAAATACATGCATATACAATAATTAAGACTGATAGTTTTTCATGTAGTTAGCTGTTTTGTTGGGGGTTTTTTGGGTTTTTTTAATCAAATAGATTATAGGGAGAAAAATCTTTACATAAGACTTGTACATATCCAGAAGGAAGATACACGTTGAGACAGTTCAGTAGTTATGGCAAAGGATAAGAAGAAAGATGGCAAGAAGGCAGAGAAGTCTGTACGTCCTCCTATGCCTACACAAGATATTACAGCTGAGAGTAGTTCAACAAAGCTGACAGATTTGCAGACCTTAGTGAATGGAGTGGAAGAAACACAGGCAAATTCAGTGACATCAGATAAAGAACCAGAGGAGGTAGAGGAACCTCCAGTGCAAGATGTTCCTCAATACTACGAGGAGCCTGTTCTTACTCAAGTTATTGTTAAAAGGTATGCTTGTTACAAATACATCAGTGAAGTCAAGAATTCTCATTTAAGTATCTCTGGTGTACCCAATGTCATACAGACACAGATTTGACTCTTAATTTGAGGCAGTGAATTGGGTTATTCAGACCTAGTAGCGGTGCCACCTTATGAGACTGATACAGGTGGATTCTGCTGCCCTCTTGCATGTTAGAGTGTTACTGGCACTCTCTGCTTGCCCAAAGACTCATTCTTTTAGCTTGTTCACATACGGGGAGGTTTTGTCTAAGTATACAGACAGCTGGCAAAGAAACTGTAGCTCTGCCATTTCATGTTAAGTTGTTGCTGCCTTTTAACATTTATGGTTTTTCATATCCCTTAAAATATCCTAAACTGAGGAAACAGGTGAATGGCCATATTAAGCAAATCCTTTGGTAGTTCAAGAGGACTATATGTAATGTTTCATATACTGACCAGGTTGTCTGGTTGTAAGCTAGTAAATGCTACCAATGTGCTTTGTTTTCTTAATTGAAAGAAAAGGGTCTGAGGTAACACAACAATTACGTGAAATATTACAAGGAAGGTGCAAAAATTTGGAAATTTTATTGTAGCTCATTTTTCTACACAAGATGAAACAACTGGCCTGTGTGTAGACCATGGCAAATCAAAGGTCATTTATTAATATGTCTGTTGTGATTTAGGTCTACTGGCAGTGACTTGAAATCTTCATCTTTAGTTTGTTTTCCTTGTAGCTATGAAGGTGAAAAAGTCCATGGATTGTATGAGGGTGAAGGATTTGCATATTTTGAGGGGGGAAATACATATAAGGTAAGTATATAAGTTTAAAATAAAGTAGTAGTGGATCAAGTTCTTTCTCTAGAACAGACAAGCTATTTCTTTTAATGGAGGTGCGGGTAGAGTACTTAGAATGTGTAACTATTGAAAGCTCTGTTGGTTTCTGGCATTAAAACTAGTAGTTGTAGGGGAATTAGTATGTCGTCACTTTGAAACCTTACAGTCACTGTAGGCTTCAGTTGTGGTAATAATAAATTTGCAAATTATGCCGTTCTTTTCATTTTGAAGGGCATGTTTTCTGAAGGGCTTATGCACGGACAAGGGACTTACACGTGGGCTGATGGAGTGAAGTACGAGGTAAAGTGCAATTTAACTTATAACCGGACACAATTACAGCCAATTAGATGTGCAAATTCAAGGGAAAGTAGATAAGTTGCAGTAATTGGTACAGTATGGGTGGCAACTGCTGAACTAGGGCAGTGATTTCAATCACAAGCCTGACTTCTCCCAGATAGTTGGGGAACAGTGAGTCTTAGTTTTTTAAATGTTGTAATTTAATCTTTTAGGGAACATTTGTTAAGAATGTGCAGATGTTCAATGGCCGTTATACATGGAATGATGGCAGCGTTTATGAAGGATCAATCAAGAATGGACTTAGGCATGGATTTGGATTTTTCAACAGTGGTACTCGTCCTGTTTCTTACATTGGCTATTGGTATAAAGGCAAAAGACATGGGAAGGTAAGTAAGAACACCAAATGAGAGCATGGTCTTCTAGAACAGCAAGCACTCTTGTGGAAAGGTTTTGCAAAAATGTTTTGTGTCTTTATGTGGTCTTATGCTATGTAGAGATTTGTTTTTCCTAAGGATCTTCTCTGAAGTTGTGAATGCTTAATTAGCATTCAACAATTGGGACGAGATCTTGTTTGTAGTGGAAGAGATGAGTGGTAGCTTAAAAGAGTAATTGGCCTGTTACGTGGTTTGTCCTTTATGCTGCCCCAAGTAGATGATGACACAGTCAAAACTGGTGACTGCATCAGTAGCCATGTAACAATGACAGAACAATTAGCTCCCAGTAATGACAAAGTGATCCCGCCTCCCAAATATGTTAAGCAGACTGAGTATGATAATTACAATTAAGACTGCCTTATCTAGTGTAAGTAACATCTAGTTCTAACTTTTTAAAGGTAAGTAGTGCTTTTATCTGTCTCTCTTCTGTACATCCAGATTGAGACACTCTTCTGGGCCTGACATTTTAAAGACCAATGCTCAGCATGTGAAGAAAATCCATTCTAATCACATGGGTTTTAGTTCTGTGTCACTAATGAGACACTAAAATCACACCGGCTGCTGGTGGATGGTCACCAGTGCAATGGTCTGTCCAGGTTGTTCTGAGAGGAAGCTATCAGATAGAGAAAGACAGAACAATTAGCGCTGTAGACCTACTGTTGGAAGTTGGATTCTGAATGAGTCAGAAAACTGATCTGCCTCAGAGTGACTACTGTGATTAAGTTGGCAAAGTTAGCTCTCTGAAAGTATCTCCAAGTGGTTTGAAAAACACGGTAGACTTTGATGTAATGTAGTATGACTTTTTTTTTTTCTTTTTTGTTTTGAACACTTGGTCTTTTTTGAGGTCTTAACTAATATTCATCAAAAGAGGTTGCATTTTTATTTATCACTTCAGTTGCTTTCAGTACAGTGTCTCAAAGTGACTATAAGTATGAGCATGATTATATGTATATGTATATAAGTATAAGCATGATTATATGTGTCTTACATAATTGGTATACAATGTTTTATTAAAGTAGATGAATATTTAGGTATTTAAATTGACTATACTGTTTGTTTCAGGGTACCATTTATTATGATCAGGAACATACCTCTTGGTATTCAGGCGACTGGGTAAATAATGTCAAAGAAGGATGGGGAATGAGATGGTAAATGTGGTAACACTTGTTCTTACCTTCATATTTTTTTATTTTACATGTATTATCATACAGCTTCTCCTGTTGTTTAAAATGTACAATTTATTCTACTGCAGAAAGTACACACTACTATGAAATGGTAACATTTGTATCCAAAGTGCTTTATAAGAAAACAGATCTTCTTCATAACTTACATTTTTATGTTGGTATATTTCTGCTGATCGTTCCCACAAAAGAATATCTAAAGACAAAATCCAAAATCAGCTTTGGTAAACCAAAAATGAACACTTAAAAACAAATAAACTCGATTGATTTATTAATGAAAGCAGCTCCATCTGTTCAAATGAATTATTTGTGCAATTATATATCAAAGAATATTTTGATTAGCTATGGTGAAGACTCTTTGGAAGAAAGGGAACTGGTTAATATTTTTACAGTGATTTGTAATTTAAAAATAGGAGGTAAGCAGGGGGTACAGTCAAACGTCTATATCCATGTCACAGTGAGCCAACTTCCAAATTAATGCTTATATTTAGCATAAATAAATGCTAAATTTATTAGCAATGAAGTTTTGCATAAACTTTGCTTTCGTAAGATCAGAATTTGCTATGAATGAGTCATTAACTTACTGTTTTCTTGCAGCTATAAGTCTGGAAATATCTATGAAGGTCAGTGGGAGAAAAATGTACGTCATGGAAAAGGAAGAATGAGATGGTTGACAGCTAATCAAGAGTATATGGGACAGTGGCTGTATGGCATACAGGTATTAATTTCTTCCTCAGCAATCTCTTTAGTTCAGCAGCTGTCCATTACTCTAGTAAAACTAGGTAAGGAGTTTTGTGCAATATCAAAGGAGCTTTGTATGATTTTTGCCAGTTGAGACAGTGGAAATATGCTGTTTATTGTAAGTTGATTCTCATGTTAGCAAAATTCAAATTTTTAAAAGGCTTTTGACTTAGTCTTACAAAATCATAATTTAATTCTCTAATGGAAAATATAAACCTTTTTCATTAAAAAAGTTTTAAAAGTTAAATGTTTGTGACTGTACTTAGTTTGAGATATGACTTCAGCAGTGAGTATATGTGGCAATTTGCTTCTATGTCACCTGTAAAATATTAGACAACACTGTTCCCTCTTAGAAAAGTTTCATGATGGAAGGAGAAGATTTCTGGCACTTTCTGTTCCTTCCATTTTTTTATTCTGTTGGAAAAAGAATGTGAGCTACTTCCTCTGTCTTTTCACTCTGCATAAAATTGTCAAGGAGTCCAGCTTCTGGAACATAGTGGCATGTTCTCTATCTGGCATGGTGTTCCTCACGTGGCTGTCGAGCATTACAGTCAAAAGGATTCAGGCGGAAAGGATGCCTTTAGGAGCCCTGTTGGTAGAGTTTGCTCAAGTACGTGTTGATTCGGTGTATCCTCTGAGCGCTTCTGCCATGCACCTTTGTAGAATATAGTTCTGTGGATGGTTTGAAGTACTGCAGCTATCAACTGGGTGCTTTTATCTGAGAGATTCGCCAACAGTGACTTAAAGATGCCTAGGTGGGTCTCCTTTTTAAAAGTCTGGACCTGTAGCAATTGCAGCTCTTCTGGAGACTTTTTTTTTAAACACACAATTTTTTTTCAGCATGGATATGGCACCCACATATGGTTTTTGAAGAGAATGACTGCGTCTCAGTATCCTTTAAGGAATGAATACATAGGTGATTTTGTAAATGGGGAACGACATGGACACGGGAAGTTCATATATGCCAGTGGAGCAGTGTACGATGGTGAATGGGTTTGTAGTAAGAAGCATGGCAAGGTGAGTATTGACAAGTAGTAAGACAAAACTACAGACGACACCAGAGGAGACTATTCTGCTCTGTATAGTGGATCTCTAGATTTCTGTATGGAAAAGTAGATTCAATTTGCATTGTGGATGGAATCTGAACATAAAGGGCAGAGTCCACTGAAAGCTGTAGGAGCCCTTCCAAGGACCTTGCTGGGCCACAGACTTGACTCCGGTTAGATGTGTGTTGTGCGTATAAAGAAATATGTTTTACTGTGGAGATTTTCAGTGTAATAGGTCCATCTTGATTTTTGCAGTGGTTGGTCAGTACTTTCACTCTTACACTATGAGCTAATGGATTTCAAGCTATCCTTGCATAGAGATGTTCTCACATTAACAGATTGTTTTAAAAAAACCTGTGAGCGGAGTGCCACATATGCAAACTAAAGATTGCAAACAAGTCTTTCTAGGGCAGCGGGAATGTTTTTTCCTCAAAATACTTTTTAAAATTAAACAGATATATAGACAATTCTTCATCCCAGCAGTGTACTTTAATTAACAGATGACAAAGTACTTTATGAACGAGGGTAGGAAAAACTATCTTGGTTTATTTTATCTCATACATTGCATTTTAGCCAAGATTTTTAAAAGGAATTTGAGAGTGTTAGTGTTATTTTTTCTGATCTTTGATTTATATTTATATTGAAGTTAATCAAATTAATCTGTCCATAGGGCAAGTTTGTCTTCAAGAACGGTCGTGTTTATGAAGGAGAGTTCATAGATGATCATATGGTAGAATATCCTGCTTTTCGAGTGGATGCAATGAATGCAAAAGAGCTGAATGCCATTTGCACAGGAAGCCATTTTGGCACTGGTAAGTAGCTTAAGAAAACAAATTCTACTTAGTCCACATTTTGTTGTTCCTTTTTACTGTAACATGAAGCTGTTCATACTTACTCAAGAGCCAGACATATTTCTTCAAAGAAATTTGATAAAGATGGGAGTTACCTTAATAATTAATGACTTTTGCTCCCATGCTTCTTGTTTCCTATGCATGACACTTTGAGTGACACATCCATGCTACATCTTGTAATGCTTTTGGAACACTGTTGTCTGAAAGTTTCATAACTTACATAATATCTGCATTTCCTTTTGGCTAGGGGTTGGATTTGACAAAATTACTCTTCAGTTGTTACACTGTTGATTATGAAATCTCTACTCCTCACTATAAAGGAGTCTGTTATTCTCAGTTTGAAGTCAGTAAGATAAGAAGGAATAATATATGTTTTATTTTCCCTCTGTGTGTATATGTGTGTATATGTATTTAACTTATATGTATTTAACTTAATTTTAGTTTGTTCTAATTTACTTTATTTGCATGGTAGAAAACGTCACAATCATTAATGGCTCAGAAAATACTTCTATTCTGGGATCAGATATTGAGTTGGATGTATCTTCACTGCTTGACTTGTTCCCAAGGGAAGAGAGACATGAAGAAGTGAAACAAGTAAGAGTCTACTGTTTGATATTTTCAGTTTTGCCCCGCAGTGTGTTTCATATTATTTTATTTCTGGTTTATTAGTATTAAAGTAACTCTTTCC